TGTGTGTGCCTTATTTGACTGTAAAGTTAAAGTGACTTTCCCGATCCCGTACCTCAAGGGGACGTGATATAGAGACGAGACGAGTTCCCCCCCCCCCTGGCAAGTGTGGAGAACCCGAGAGTACAGAAATTTCCCCCTGATAGTACTCTCCAAGACCAACTCAAACTCTCTTTATTCATTTTCAAAACTCTAACCAATTACAATACATTTAAAAGACAATAAGGCGTAACCTTCAATCATACAGCCAATCACACTAAGTACTGAATACGTCATATCTTTTGATTAATCGTTCACTACATTAATAACTACGAATACCAACTGTCAGAAATCGTAGTCAGAATAGCGACGGTTATCTCGTAATTAGTTCCAAATCACTGAGCCAAGTTCCGTCTAAAACTTCAAATAGGCCTAAACGATGGCAGACATAACACAGCAATTCAGCTAATAACTAATTAAGTCGGCCAACAGATACACGAAAACTAATTCATGACATTACTGTCACACTGTTTGTGCTACGGAAAGTAACACAAAAGTTTCTCACTTTGAAAACAGCCATAATCTACAAACTCAGCCAACCAACGCGTACGCTTTCGTCGTGTTCGAAAATCGAACATCTCCATGGCAATGTTTTATTGGGCGTCTTTGAAAGTATAAGATCTTGTGGTGACAGAGATATATTCGTAGAAATAGAACTCTGTGTGGGGGATTGACCCGGGGATTGACCGCCCTCTTGTGACTTGGTGCGCCATGACACTCGAGGCTGAAACCAGTGGCGAATCCAGAAAAAGGCGGCGCGCTCCTATTGACGGTCCGCGCACCTCCGGTAGGTTGGGTTTGTCAATTGATTTGTAATATTTTTTGCGGACTGAACCAGCAAAATTGTATCGTTGCAGAGGAACAAAAGCGAGGCTTGGCTCCGTCACGTGATAAGAATGAATGAACGTATATATTTAAACATTTTATATACAATCAAAATTATTAAAAAATACATGCCTGAGAAAAAATAGCAACATTGAAGATAGTAATGATATATGTTATGGTAAATCCGACAAGCGCCATCTGTGACATACTAGTACTCGGCGGTGTTTATGTAATAGGATTGTTAGGACGACTGCCAGTACATATGTATAAGTATATGTTGCTCTATAGGTTACATTGTCGGCGGTAGAGGACTGCAACTATCTCTCTTGGCAAAGGAAAGACCTCGAGTGTTATTTAAAGAAGACCACTTCCATAAAAGGAATATTCGACAGCATCATTGGAAAAGACATATCCAAGAAATTGTTTGCTATGAACGAGTACGCACTGAGCTTGGATGGAGACAACGAAAATGTGAAATGCATGGATGACGGGATGAATGTTACATCTGACAGCCAACCGACTCAGAAGCCTCATCCTCCAGCAACAAGGGGGAATAGCGGAGTGTCTCAGATATAGGTAAAGTTACTTAAAGCCCATCTGGCGCATGCGCAGGTGACGACTCCCCCGCCTTAATAATTTCATTACATCGGAATTACGGAACAAATTATAACTTGTATGCACGTTACTATGGCGACGTACAAATTCGTCGTTATAGATTCCTGAGATTATTCGCTGTTGGACATTATCCATACACACAGAGTAAAACAATTATACTTTTTGTTTATTTGTTTTTTCTGTCTGCCAGGAGCTATATCTGAAAAGAGTGAGTATTCTGATGAAGAGGAACGTCTGGGCAGAGGAAAAATTGAAGAAGAAGAAGAAACCAAAATTAAATCTCGTGCTTTTCCGAGTTATACCATTACGTGTTTAATACGAGATGATATGAAGTCATGATGACATCACAGTTGGTTTATATAGGGTTTATCTTATTATTTGTGTGTAGTTAGAATATAATAGTATATTTATTTAACAGAAGGGTGTGAATATATTGACAGTCACGTGTTAGTACCATTGTAGTGAAATGTGTGCGAGGGAATTGTCAAATATATGCTTGAATATATATATATATATATATATATATGCTATTAAGTTATTTTCATGTCTAATTCATCAGTCACTCTTTAGCACAAAATCACCATTGCATTTTTCTGACTCGGTTTTATCACTATAGCAACAAGAAGCAATGTGTTGCTTATCGAAGCCAAGTGTCCTGTATGATATATGAAAAATGAGCCAAATTTCACAAAAAGCCAAAAATGAAAATACTATTCATGAATATAATGATAAAATGTGGGGTATTTTTTGTTATGCAAACAGAACGTAGTACATTAAAGATCAACATACTAGACTACGAGAAATATGGCTTTGTAATACCCATTTATATTATGTCGCGCCCTCTGGCGGCGAATTGCTCATATGACGTCATAGGGACAACTGTGATAGGTTGTGTAGTCGTTCGTCATATTTTATTAAAATTGTTTATTAATTGACGTCGACTAAAAATTATGTCCGTACGTCACATGTGAGCGTTTCGTCACTAAACGCATATGAATGATAATATCAGGTTTTATCCTGAGGTGGCATACATATACCCACCAGGAGGAAGTTGCTTGACAAATATTTTCATTTGCATATATTAATATTCATGGAAATGAACAAATAATCTTTTCTGTAATACTGTGCCAAAATGTTTTCCGAATACCAATATAGTAGTTCTAAATTAATGAAAAATAATAGAAAAACTGATGCAAAAGTTTTTTGTAGACGCCTTTTTGGTCAGAATCCAGAAAACATTTATTTTTAACGCAATCATAGCAAGTTACGAAATTCATGCAGAATGCAGAGGCAAGTTGATAATTCACTCTTTATTGCTCAAAATTGCACATAATGTTTTCAATAACTCAAGTTTAAAAGTGACAAGTTACCTAATACGCAATTTCAAATGGAACAATTTGAACGTAATAAAATCACGCGTGGAAACTATCCCTGCAAGAAACTACTAGCGCCGACTAGTTGTCGACTGAATTGTTTTGCAAGACACAATTTTAGAACCTGTATATTTCTATGTAATGTTTCCAATTTTTGTTGAGAATTATATTATTAAATTATATAAAAGCAATTGCTGAAATGATTTCATATATTCGAAAAAAGGAAGTTGTTAGCCTACAGATGATTGACCTTGAAACATTCCATTCAGATCGTACGGTGTCCTCTATGCCAGTCTCCCTCTGCATATACCCGATGGCATATAATGGCCCCAAAAAATCACACATCCTACTACTGTTTTGAGGTTTACCTTTGCTATCAATGACAATTTCTCTATTTATATATTCCAATGCAAAACATGGCATTAGATAAAATAAGATAAATTATTGCTGTTGCTAGGACAACAACACCCTGTAAATACTAGGGTGTGTAACCTGAGAGGGCGCTATGCCAACTGTGTCAGACGAGCAGCTGACTATAAATAATCTGAAGTTTTCGAGGTCACGCAGCCAGAATCCATATGTTGCCAGCCATATCAGTCAGTGACTGAAATCATAATATAAAATCTAACGACCCTTGTACAACACTATCATAACTCACTCGTATATTTATTGGACAACTGTCCAAATGTCATTTAAAGGTCATCGGTCCGTCACTAGACGCATATGAAAAAAAGGTATTAGAAGTCTTTGTGATATTAATAAAACCTTCGCCACGCAAAACTTACGTCATTATAAAAAATAGTTTTCCTCAAACAAGTGATTTGACTGATTTGGAAATACTTTAATTGTTGACTTTGTGATCAATAATAATACAAGGTTGTATCGCATTTTGAACAACTCTACAAATGTCATTTAAAGGTCATTTATAATTTGTCCGTTCGGTCGCTATATACCGTGGCTATTACAACAGGTGGTCCAGTGATGCGCTGTAACTACAGCGCGGATTTATAACGGGGTAAGTTACACATTTTATGTATTCTAAGCACGCTGTTATGTTGAGTAAGGCGTATACACATTTTGAGTCTGGGCAGTGCGTTGACCATTACAGCATTATTAAAACACCGATTATATCAGGACACACACGTCCCATCTCCGTGACTCCCAAACCTCACACCCAAATATTACATTGGACCATTGCATTAAAGGAATGCACTCACGTAACGATATTATAGTGCGAACAAAGCGTAGAACATATACGCATGTAGGCTTCGCAAACCGCGCATTTGTGATTAAAGAAATAGGAAATATGCTTATCAATTAGTTCCTGTGTAGCGTTGCCATTTCATGTTAGTAAACAACAAAAAGACAGCATGCCAGCACGATTACTAAAATTAACCGTGATGCCAGTATTTAGAATGGGAATGGGTTTCGATGTGACGTGCGTTGAGGGGTTTGGGTTTGCGTTGGGGGAGGCAATATCATTACGCGGCAGGAAAAACGTAGAGACGAAATAATACCTGGTAAATACAATTGATCAAGACTAAAGGCAAAAATGGACAGGACATGCATAAAAACATGAGTTGGGCCTGAAATAGGTTATCTCAAAGGTCCATCGGTGTCTGTATATTTGAGGTCAGTTAGGCTAACGTTGCAACTGTCGCGGTATTTGGAACACGACAGAGTGTATACATGTACAAATTTGAACCTGTGACACAGGTATATTTCGAGTGGGGGATACGGGGGATACACTGAATTACGCCAACGAAAGGAAAAGAACTATGTGGTCTGCAATATGTAATTTGTTTCCAGTGCTTTATTTAGAACCAACATGACGACACAGCAACCACGACAGATCTGCGTAATTGGTGCCGGTGTGATCGGCCTTAGTACCGCCGTTAATATAATAGAAACCATACCAGATGTGGAAGTCACGGTAATCGCCGAACGTTTCTCCCCAAACACGACGAGTGATGTCGCTGCTGGGATATGGCTGCCACCCGATGCACGCGCGGAGCATGAGTTGGGCGAAGACGTACAGCGAATTAAGTATGGTTTTGTGTATTTTTTCAACAACAACAAATATATTTATTTCACACAGAAACGATCTTGTTATTTTTCTTCTAACCGGTTAAGTCATATACGACTATTAATATCGAATTAAAGCGGGAGGGTCGTCACCTGCGCACGCGCGGGAATTGAGTCCCAAGCCTTTGCGTTATATTTCAAAGTCGGCGATTACCGTCCGATATCATTTTCATCATAAATTGGCTGCCATAAATTAAGACAATTAATAATAAACACATATTTCCTGTTTTCCTTAAAATTGCCAACCAACATAAAATATTGTTTGAAATATACACTCTACAGGAAGTGGTGTTTAGACTCACGTCGGCACATCCAAAGGTTACACAACAGTGAGGACGCGGCTGCAGCAGGGGTACAACTTATATCAGGATTTCATCTTTTTGAGAAACCTGAATATTCGCACGAGGTATGATAATAATTTGTAGCATTATTAAACAATCATTTGAATTGTTCTTTTAATGATCAATGATTTCACGCGAAAGATTGTGATCATATAAATATTTATATACAAACTAAATGGTACTTTTTTCACATACAGGCTATATATGATAAAGACTTACTTTTCGGATATCAGATGTTGACAGGAACAAATAGAACGCCATTTCCACAATTTAGGTATATATAAATATATATATATATATTGGTATATATATTTAGATACATGTATTATTCATTGTAATCTACAGTATATGTACATGGCAGGATCTATGCACGATTTACTTGGTGACGTCATAATTCTACACAAGCATGAATCTCCTGGTTATAGAAGACAACACAAACTATCCAGTCTTGTTGTCATCTGTTCCTATGGACATTGTAGGCTAATATTCTTTTGTAGATACATAATAATATACGAAATCAAATCTTCGTTCTTCAACTCTCAGTCGTATTGTGCCACATCGTTTTAAACTTGTTTTGTTTTGTTTTGTTTGCCCTAGAAATGGGTCTACTTTCACAACGTATATTGTCGAATGTGGCATATATTTGCCATGGTTGATGGCCAGGTAGGTCTTACTCCAATCTACTAGTACATGACGTAAGAGCTTTTTTTTATTACGATTACCCAAGTTAGATCATTCGTTTCTATGTCAGGGTACATAAAATCGAAAGACAAGCCTGAGTTTCAATGATGCACAATATCATGTTTTATCACGGACCTACAATTCCATGGCAACGTAAAACAGCTTTGTGTTTTATGTTACAGTATCGTATTTCGAAAACAAACTTTAAATGCTAAAAATTATTACCAAATAGCTATTTTTAGATCAGTTCTATATAACACAGTGTTAATTAGCCTTATTCGTCATTTTTAAAAAGAAAAGGAAAATACCCCATCCTCACCTGTCACGAAATATACTTGTTTCATCCTGCGTTGCCAGCCAACAATTTGAGATATGACGTAATATTTCCATCATAGGGTAATGATATCGGAAAGGCGTTCTAATAGCCACTAAAATGGCTGCCATTTATTAAATCTATCATCATTTTCTTGACAAAGATGCTGTTGACGTTAAACCTAACATCATTATGGTAGCCGAGAGTATAATCGCAAAATGGATAAATTTGTGATTAAGTTTCTACCATAAGTAGTATTGAAAAAAACAAACAGTGAAATCATGTCATAGTTTACCATAAAAGACCGCATTGTGATATTCCTCTATAATGGAGTGTTTTTTTCATTCGATAGGTTCACAAGTCGAGGTGGACATATCATAAAACAGAAAGTTAATTCCTTGGAGGAACTGGTGGACAGATTTGATTTGGTAGTCACGTGTGTTGGTCTTGGAGCAAAGCCGTTGCTAGGCGATAGCTCCATGGTCGCTGTGCGCGGTCAGCTCATCAAGGTGAGACTCACAGCGTGTATATTTGTCATCAGGGGTGTATTTCAATTAAATTGTTTATCAGAATATATTATGAGGTTATTACGAGGATACCGAAAAGTATACACTAAGACAATGGAGCTGAGGTCGATGCGACGTCGTACTGTCTGAGTGCATACTTTGCGGTATCCTCGTAATAACCTTGTAATACATCTTTTCCTCCCAATTATGGGAATGCCGAAATCCAAAAAGTTTAGAACGTTTCCTAATTTATGGTAGGATGAAAATACCCCGTAAAATACCGCAAAATTACGGCACGCTGTAACTTATAGCGTTACGGTGACAGATGTATAATAATAATATTTAAGGCATAGGCAATTTAAATCATTTACTGGACGTAATTCAATTGGAACGAATTACGTTAATCGCAAATACCTAGTTTGTGAACAATGCATGCATGCACACTTGCATCAGTGAGATATTTAATCTTGTAGTATCAAAAAATATTACCATTCAACATGATAATAGGCCATTCAACATAACGTCGGGAGGATATATGCAAATAAACTCTGGTGAGAAAAACGTTTCTGGGAATATACATTTGAAACGTATTATCATAAAATTAAATATAAAATGCTAAACATGTTTGTACCCATGGGACTATACTCAAAAGAATTTCCCAACATGTATTTAATTTTAAAAATATTTGTAGTACATGCTCAATATGTAGCGTATTTTATTGCATGTAAATGGCACAACGAACACATACATACGTTCAAAGGAGGTACATAATACGTTTCACGTGCTTTCACGTGGTGATTGATAATACCTTTTGATCTGTACTCGTGGAAAAAATATTGATAATATTTGGGATGAATAGTTATTCACTTATTCGTTGTATTTCTTTGTTTAAATAAATCATTTAACAAATTAAACACCTAAATACATGTGATTTCGGGTCGCAATATTTCAGCAATGGTAAATGCAAAATATTGATTTTAATTGCAAAATATTACGACCTAAAATACACCACCTTAAATATATAAAAGTTCTTATGTAAATTATTGGTATAGACTAAAAAGCAGACGCACACTACGTCGTTATAAGCAATAGTGTGCATTGTGTCATAATTTCTGTTTTAGGTCAAGGCACCGTGGTGCAAGAACTTCGTACGTGTCTTTGGTAGCCCCATGGAGCAAACATGTGCTTACATTTACCCGGGGTGAGTCTTTACATATATCCTAACTCGCTTTCAGTCAGAATGTTGCGAACAATCGTAAATACTAGTATATACAAACATTAAGGCGCGGTAGTCGTCGCGCGGCGCGTGTTCGAATTTCATGTAAACAAACAACGCATTTTACACGCGTTGTATACGTCGCTATACATCTCATATCGAACAAGATGTGGCACGACGACTGCCGCCCATTAATTTTATCAGCCCTGAAATGACATTGAAACAAGTACTAGTAACACATACCTACAAGTATATACTCTACGCATGCGTAGTAAGTGGCACGAACTTGCTTTCGTTTCAGCATGCGCAATAAATAGATCTTTTACAAAACTTGATCCACAAAAAATTTAGACCGTTCGTCGAATACGCGTATAGTATTATAGCTGCATACCTATGCCTTGCATATAGTACTGTAATTTACAGTGTCACTTGTTTTAGTTTCACGCTCCATGGCCGTGATTCCATGAGGATTTGGTGAACATGCACAGCATGGAAACCCGTTATCAATTTTGTTCTATTCCTGATAGAATAAATCATGTAAGTTTAGGTGGAACTAATCAAGAAAATTACTGTAGCGAAGAAAACGACCAACAAGATATTGACAGAATATGGAAAAACTGCATTTCAGTAATTCCGGCGTTAAAGGTACGTGTATCTTTTATGCCACAATCGCTATGCATTGATACATTGGGTTATTGCCAAAGAATTATTTTTTTGTTTGATTTTTACTACCGTGAAAAATGTATTTTATTTTATTTTTTCATTTTATAGAACACAGAGTCGCGTTATACAGCAGGTCTACGTCCAGTAAGGAAACGTGGTGTTAGGTTAGAACCGGAATCATTCCAGTATGGGCAAAAGTCAATTAAGGTGAAACCCTACATATATTTTAATTATTGTGAAGTTTATACCGAATTATCCAATTATTCATACCTTTAATAAGAATACAGTTAGTCTTCCTCCGGCGACTGTAAAAACTATCACGACGCATTGCGTTTGACACGTGTTCCAAGCGACGTATACAGCCTGAGTGCGTTGTTTATTTCACTCAAAAATCGATCGCTTCCTATGTTAGATACTGTAGATCGTTTAACAATAATTCATTACATGCCGTTGTTATTTTATTAGCTACGCCTTTCCACAGTATATCATTGTGGGCTACGAATGGTGCGTGCACTATTGCTAATGATGCCTATCACGGGACAGGGAGATATACTACCCTGACGATAACTCGGATATTTAACTTCCCATTAGTGTATACCCACTGTGGAGACCGCGTCTGGACGCCCCGTTAAAGGCTTCGCAAACTGTAATAAACTCTCTGTGAACACCAATAATTTGTTTATTTGGCGCGCAGACACAAGATTCTCATTTTAAGATGTCCTGTTGTTATTTTCTCTCATTGTCTTTAGGTTGTTCATAATTATGGTCATGGAAGTTATGGTGTTATTGTACACTGGGGATGTGCAATAGAAGCAACTCAACTGGTGGCTAGACAACTGGATTCACTGAAACGCTCCCAAATTAAGTCAAATTTGTGAAGAAGAAAGAAGAAGAAAATACTTTTGTCACGTAATATCGTATTGTTGGAATGATATTCCAAAAAATAAAGTTAATTGGAAAGAATTACAGTTGTTGTTTTAATGAAGAATTTATTAAAATGAGTGTTCTATGAATATTTGAGTATTTGTTGTTAATCGTGTACAAATCCAAACGTAATTTTTTCACCACTTTATGAGTGAAGTGAATATTTCAATTGAAACGACAATCAGAGACCATAAAAATAAAATCATTTGTTTTGGTGTTGTCATTGTGATTGTATGACAGACACAACAACAAAATAGTAACTTTAGGCACACACTCAAACAAATTCGAATGACATATGTCCGAGATTTTGACTCAAAGATTAGTACGAGGATACATTAAAGTCAAGTTGTAGGACAGATCTATTTTTTCTATTTTTTCTAGAGTGCAGGTGTGACCTGCCTGTCAGGTCTGAATAACATATGTAACCCCAAATCGAGGTCTAACTCGGTAATGAAAACGGATATCAAAAAACAAAAAATAACTTTGGTCCCACACTCGAGCTGAGTAGAATGAGATATGTCCAAGGTCTTTACTCCAAAATTTGTGTATGGATGGATGGATGGATGTACAGTAGGTACCGTATATTCACGTAGTGACATCATCACATACACATATTTATAAATAAATGTTGCTGACAGTATCTGGAATCAAATTAATCATTGGTAACTATTATTGTGCCACGTAAATAGACCTGAATAGTAACAATTTGTAAGTCAATATATATACACCGTTTATGTCAATTGCGCCCTCTAGCGACGAATAACTTCACATGGTCGATTGTTTTGATAAAAAATATATTATATTTATATTTACTAGTATATATATATATTCTAAATGACAAAAAGGGCATAGACGATCTTCCAAGAAGTAGTGAGACTGCGATACAGAAATACGCCTGCTTTGTCAGGGCGGAAATAAAAACATGTCATTTTGCTGATAGAAAGAAACTTTGAATTTTATTCTTATCTTCCGGGGGAAATGGTCTATTGCTTCCATCATCTACGCCATTTTGACGTCACAGAAGCACTTCGCCACTAGAGGGCGCGACCTATAATAAAGGTGTATATCACTCGTATTCTTGATCAGAGATATTCAAGTTGCTTTCCTATGTAATTTAAACAAGTATCAGTGACCTTATATGTTGCCGAACTAAGACTCACTAAGTAAATTATCAATCCGTATTCCACCCACGAGTTTCGTTGCGAGTGGGTGAAATCCCCATAGACTTTAAAGGGCGGCAATCGTAGCGCTGCGCATATGCGACATTTGTGTTTATAACAATGATTTTCCCACAACCCAGCGCGCTCTTCTAATGACAATCATCACAAGTATGAGGTTTGACCTAGGGGCGACTTGCACTAATTACCGCCGGTGATTCTTTCGATACATTCCAATCACCTAAAAATACCTAATTAAAACTTCGTAACGTCTCAGTTTGTACTCGTTGATCTGCGCAACAGTCAAAGTCGCCATCTTTTTTATATCATGAGACCCATATATCTCGCGCATGCGTGGCGCGACGACACCTTTAAAAGTGTGACGTCAATCCGCGGTCGAGAATATTGTCACTTTCTCGGTTTTCTACGTCAAGAAGACTGATGTTTTAACATTCACCTTATTCACTTGCGACCCGAAATGAATAAACCGAATTTATCTGTGAACCGAATGAAACACAAAATTGGGCAATAAACTACACTAATAAATCAGTTTCTTGTCATGGATTCAATTGACGGTCGTTCGCAGGTTTGATGAAGTTGAGGGCGCTAACTAATCGAGTTTATCTTGCCCTTATTTACACAATGCACACGGCACACGTAGAAGTATTGATTTATACGATCGTGATCTTTTGACATGCGTGACTTTGAAGGTCATTTGAACGTCGTGTTCACGGTTCGCAGCTTTACAGTTGTTTCGAAGGTAAGAATCATGAGTTCGCCGTAGATATAGTCCCGGAAATATGTTGCGTTTCCGGACGTTTCTTGTGGCAATTTGCATTACATACGTGTATTAGGTTACCAGTCTCGATTGCAGTGACGCGGTGTACACATAGTTCAGTGTATCCCTACACGTACACAACCTAATAGTTTGACTGTCGGGCTTTTAGACTTGATTTCCAGAGTACAATGCAGTTCATGTTTGTTATGCTGCCCTCAACGTTATTGTTACTATATGCTACCGGTCTAAATTAATTCTAAATGACATTATTTGTTCAAAAGTATTGTCTTTGAATATTGATTAGTCAGTTATTGTATTTTTTATAACAAAATTCACTTGTACATTGTTGACCACAATGTGCATGTAGAGAAGATGGATTCTATATGTCAACTTTAAGATAGAATCAGTAAACGGTCTCATATCTTACGGTGGCCTATAAAACAAAACAGCGATATATCCGGGATCTTACATATCCATTACTCTTGATGCTATTGTAGATTACCACAATATGACTTATTTGTTAGTAAAAGTATTATTGTTTCTGTCAATAGACATATTAAACGGGTTAAATTGTGCTTACTACTCTTGTCCTTTTCAAGTTGCCCGTGGTTACGGTGTTGATATTCGAGATATGAAGAATGTATGTGTGATAGGAGCAGGTGTTATTGGATTGAGTACAGCGGTCAATGTCCTTGA